TCTGTTCATGTGTATCACAGCCTCTTGGTCATCCTCACTCAGCTGCTCAGCACAATACTATACACATATTAGGAGCTCAGTGAATATTTTCCAAATAGAAGAATCATCAGAGCAGATGCTGGTGGTCTGATCTTCCAGTGGGAGAAGTGGCTGCAGAGAATATAATAGAGACGCCATCACTGCCTTCTTTTCACCATTATTAAAAATTAGGAGACACACACAGGAAAGGCACCCCAGGGAATGTTCACAAGAAGGAAAACACAGGTGGCATTCATGAGCTGAAAATTGGCCAAACTGATACCACCCATGAAATGCTAGTGAGGTGTCTTGTATTGTGAATTACTTTTATTGAATTTGGATGTGATGCAGTGATTTCTTTCTTCAGTGTGTGTGTGTACCTGTACATATATATGGCAAAGTCCAGCGTTTGTCTCCCTAATTGTACTGGCATCCTAGTTACTCTGTTGATGTGCTGCAGTCCTGGTGACGATTCAGAAGCATGTGCTCCCTATCAGCCGACGGAGTGAGCACCTCTGAATTAACCCAGAAGGGCTCAACTCTGTGCTTTTGGTGTCTTTTAGTTGTATGTTGTAAGCAAAGAGACTGCTCAGAGACAGGATTGAAGAAGTTTGTCTGGCAGAAGCAGAATTGCCAAATGAGAATTCTGGAGGTGGGCAATGAGGATTAAGTAATGGAGGCAAGAGGAAGCACAGAATATCAGACTCCAACATAAAAATCATGGTCTTAGAACCACTTGGGAATGTCATTTTTTCCCAAGCTCTGGACTTAATGTCATTACCATCACTTTTCTCCTGTGGCTGTGAAAGGACTTTCTTTATTCCACTACAGAATTCACCAGAGGCTGCTTTTGTTTAAATGGAAGGAAGCAGTCCATCACACTTCTCAGATGAATATTCCCAGTGCAAAAGAAAGCACATGGCCTGCGTCTCTGAATTTCAGTGAGGGCGGGACTCACATGCAGCGCAAGTTCTCTTGAACTCCAACCAGAACTGGAAGGAGAGAAGGCTAATAAAGAGTGGGCATAAGTCAGGACAGATTTGATTTTGCTGCCTAAGCAAATGAGCCCCTGAAGTCTCAGTGACTTAAAGCCAGGTCTCTGTATGTCTGAGAGCCCCTCTGGGAGGCTGTCCTCTGTGTGATGATTCAATACTTCATTTTAGGATCAGCATGTTCTTCTTTACTTGCCGTCGTAGTAGGGGAGGAGAGAGAGAGAGGTTGTGGATTGGCAATTAAGTGCTTCTTCCAAGAAATGACACACATCACACTTCCCATGGCCAAGCAGTCACGCATCCACTCCCAAGTCCAAGGAGTTGGGACCGCCCCCCCACCCCGCCTCGGAATTGGGAAGGGAAGGAGAACTGTGTATTGGTGAACACTTGTAATGTCTGCTCCATACTGCCAGACCCAGTCAGCTGGCAGACATCTCCTTTCACGTCCACCCCCCATACCTTTCGCTCAGATTACTGGGCACTTATCAAAGACTTATGAGGTAGTGTGGAGGGCTGAAGACCAAATCGTTTTGCAGCCCATTTTAGTCCACAGGCAACCTTTTGGAAAAAGTGGACTAGCCAGGGAAAACCAGTTCACTCTGGGCACTTTTCCCTTGAAGCTATCAGATACTCATAGCTCTGGGAAAGGACAGTGGGTGAAAGGGAGCCATGGCCTGATTTCAATAACACATCTAAGGTGGAACAACTCACTTTAAGTTGCCCAGAAAAGACTTCTGGAAATGTGCCCTTCTGCCTCCACTCTCTCCCTTGTTACCAGACATGATTCAAATTCCCTCTAAGACGTTTTCAGAAAGCAGCTTTCCCAGCAGCAGAGAGAAAAGAAGAAGAAAAAACTTTCCCTTATTATTCTTCCAATAATGAATTCCTGCTCGGAGCGGGCCGCTTCCATGTGTTTTCAGTCAAGCGCTGATGGCAGCCTTGCCGGGGGACATTTCCAGGAGGCTGTGGACATAATGGATGAGGTCTCGTATTGACAGGAGCTACTCTCGGTTTTCCTTCCAGCTTAGCCCTCCTGAGCCCTGAAATCAGACATGAGAAATGACTCACAAGATCCTGCTTGTGCACCAGCATGGCTGCCACACCTCTCTGCTCCTTTTAACTAGGTCAGAAGTCATGGTGTTAAAGCTTCCCTCTGCGAGATTTGTAGACCTGGATCTCAGTAACTTAAAAGGGACTTAACTTTCTCTGACCAGACCAATTCTTTATAGATGCCAAGATCTCTCTTCAGGACTGAAGCATAGTCTTGGTCTGCCCTGACATCATAAGAACAAAGGGAGAAATTAGGTCACACGATTTCCTGCCTAACACCTGATCTCAAGTACCCAAGATGCTTCCAAGTAGGCAGCGGTGGTAGGTCACGTTTGCTAAGGGGACCAGCCTACTCATTCTCCCCAGAGCAAATGTCTTTGGATGATAATTCAATTTCAACTTACCTACACAGAACTTGTGCAGACTGCTACTTACAGTTGGGCCCTTACCATTGAGAAGAATGTCAGTTACCTTGGGTAAAAGGGGACAGGTGTTGATAAGGATACAGGTGGTCTGGAATTGGAAAGCCTTAAGGAGCCAAGACAACCCTGGGGTTCATTACCTTCGAGTCCCTGCTTCTCTCCGCAAGTCGTCCAAGGCTCTTCTCTCTCCCAGCAGACATGCCCTATGTACTATAATTCTGTTCACTCAGAGCTTCAGCTCTCCCGTGGCTCATCCTGGGCTCTTGAGCTTCTGTCTCTATACCTCAGCTTTTCAACTGCAAGCCCATCGGCTTTCTTCCTGGGTATTTCCTAATTAAAATTCCTAAGAGAGAATATGATTGGAGTGGGTTCGTCGTATTGTTTTGTCTCAGATAACATCATTGGTCGCTAGCCAGCCAGTTGGTTGTGGGCTGAAGAAGGAGCTGATAGGATGACTGCTCAAGCTATAGCAGGCATGGGCAAGGGCGCTTCCCTTAGGGGCCCTGAGAGGTGAGACCAGGATGGCGAGCTCCAGTGCACTTTTTGCTCCTCAGCCAGATTGATGCACAGATCCTCACTCTGTCTCTTGCTGCTTCTTCCCCTGCTCATCACTGTAGACCTGGCCCCCCGTTACTGCTCATCTCCAAGCCCCTGACTCCAGTGTCCCACTTCTCACCCTGTTAAAGTACCCAGTCACCAAGGTACATGACTAGTGAGTGGGAAGGAAGACATCTTAATATGTATTCGAGAATATAAGGAAGATTGGGGAAGGTGTGATATAGAAGGAGGAATGGAAATACAATCCTTCCTTAGCTAAAGAAAATCTTCCTTCCACCAGGACCAAGTACCTTTCCTCTTTCTCCCAATCCACCACAGCAGGTTCCCTTTCCCCAAGACATCACCAGAAGCAAGAGAAACTTCCACTGAGGAACCCTGACCAAGCAAGCAGGGAAGGTATTCTAGCTCCACTAATCCCCAAGACCTTCTTCTCACCCCTGTGAGGATTCCTAGTCCCCAACCCAGACCCTTGCCTTTCCCTGGCCCCCACTCTCAGGCTTCAGGAAGCCTCTGGATCCTTGAAGAACAAGGTCCAAACAACCTACTTTCAAACTGAAGTTTAGAATACAAGCAAAAGACTGTGTTTAGATAGGGTCTTTGCCAACTGTGTTCTCCCAAGATGTGCAAAGCTCTTCATTAGCAGTGTTCACAAATCGTGTTGTTTTTGGAGGACTGGTCATATATGGTGTTGCGCTATTTCAACTGAGTCAGAGAAATTGTGCTTTGTCTGAATTCACACATCACCCAGAGGACTAGGGGGAAGACTGAATTATGATACTGAGCTTAGCCTCTTACTCATCAAAGACCACTGCCTTTATACCTCATCAGACGGTAAAAGCCCAACCCAAACCATCCACATTCAAATTTCAGGATTTCTGTATTCCTTTCAGTGAATACGAGGCGAGAAATGCATTAAAGGCAAATCTAAACAACCCCGTATTTTCGTGCCCTTTCCTGAGCTGTGAGTGTGTCGGTGGTGATTAAATCATTGGTCAACCCTTACCCTGTGACTGATGCTTTTATCTACTGACTGTTTCCCTAGGAGCCGGAGACGGCAGAGAAGGCCGTTCTGATGGTGTTTCTAATCCTGCTGCTGTGGGATTCTAGAGCCAGTTCCTCTGGACCACTTCCAGATCTCTGCTCATTCTGCTTAGAATCTGGGGTAGAAGCCTCTTACCCCTGGCTGTCCCCTGGGATCTGAGAACCCATCTGGGGTTTGTCTGATCTCTCCCTCCAACACCACATCCCTCCTCCACAGTTATTACCACTATAACAGCTTGAAAGTTGATGCAAAGATGGAGCAGAAGCCAGTTTGGCTTTCTCCCAGTTTTCTAAGCCCCTCTGGGGTTAATCAGCAACCACATGTCTTTGTGTTAATAACGTAAGCCTCTCTAACTAGAACACCTGGAGGAAACCCATAGGAAGGCTTATGACAAAGACAATTTTGCAGTAATTATTTTGACCATCACTTTCTTTGAGCTGGACTCAGGCTCTCCAGACAAACACAGCTTACTAAGCCCAAGCAACTAGCAACCTGTAACTCTTAATGTTCCTTAAGCCACCTTGAGTTTTGCTAATACTTTTGATGCCCACATCTCAGCTCCAAAGTCACCTCATGCTGTGGACTTCAGGCGACATCTCCCCATTTCAGGTTTAGCAAAATATCCTGAGTGCATCTCACTGATAGAATTCTTTGGTGCCATCTTCCCAGCCCTTTCCCCACCCTCCCAGACCATCTGACAGTGGTATTCACACCTCTGGAGAAATAGCAGACCTTAACTGGGACTGCTTACCACTTCTCTTAGTAACTAACCTAAATGCCCTTAGGTGTTAGGTGATTCCCTGCACAGAGGAGAGGAGTCAGGAGCCGGGGAGGTGGAAAGAGTATGCAGGAGACACATGGAAAACTATTCACTGCTCTACTTGTCTGATAAGGCTTCCGTAACAGAATACTAGAGAGGAGCTTAAACAACAGAAATTTATTTTCTTCTACTTCTGGAAGCTAGAAGTCCAAGATCGAGGTGCTGGCAGCTTTGGTTTCTCCTGAGACATCTCTCCTTGGCTTCCAGATGGACTCCTTCATGCTGTGTCCTCACACGGTCTTTCCTTTGTGTGCAGTCCTAGTGTCTTTGCCTCTTCTTGTAAGGACACCAGTCTTATTGGATGAGGGTCCTTCTCTTATGACCTCATTTAACTTTATTATCTCCTTTTAAAGGCCCTATCTCCTTATACAGTCATAGTAGGGATAAGGGCTTCAATATATGAATTTGGAGGTAGGGGACACAATTCAGTCCGTAACGCCTGCCACGGTGCTGTTTCCCTCAGTCATCGTCATCTTCCATCCTCGGATGGTGCTCATCTAATCCTGAGTGGGAGCAAAGTAGATATTAGTCAAGAAATGGCAGGTGTGACTCTGTGCAGTCAATCTGAGAATGGCTAAGCTAGATAGGGCACGGAGACAGAGTAAAAAGATGGATGGGTGGAGAGCTACATGAAGGCATGGCTGGCTGGATAGACAGATAGATGAATAAATGACTTAGTGTGTTGATAGCACCAGGGCAGACGTTACCTCTTATTAGCCCTACTTCTTTGGAGCTGTAGTTTTTTACAGCAGGGTTTGCAAAATCAAATGCTCATGCTAAACAGGTAGCAGAATGGCAAAAAGAGGGCCAGGTGCAATTATAGGGGATAGTGAGGACTGTGACAAATTGGAAAGAGCGTGCCCTGTCTAAAGGGGCAGCGTGTACCCAGCTCCAGCCAATTGTTACTTCGTGGAATGCGAGCAAAGTAATGTTGCCAGAACTTCTGATTTTTTCAAGGGAAGCCAGAAATCTCTATTTTCAGATGAAATTTTTCTTTAAATAAGTCTTTAAGTTATAGTAACTAATTCCAAAAATTATAAAATACCGTGTAAGCCAAATAAACAGTTATAGTCTGAATGAACTCTGGAGGCTGTCAGATTTCCACTCTTGGAACACTAGGAAGACATCTGTAATGTCATCACATGAGGACGTAGGTGTTGAAGAGCTCAGGGTCACAAGTACACTGCTAGGTTCATATTCCAGCCCACCACTTGAGCTTTGTAATCTTGGGCAAGTAATACATGTAACTTAGAGCTGTTATAAGGATGAAATTAGTTAACACACGGAGATGCCTAGAACGATGCCTGCTGCCTAGTAAGAAAGCAAAAACGGAGCCAGTATTATTAGGTAGTATCTCTAAACCTCTTAGTTTCCTCATCTGTAAAATGGGGACATTTTTCTTACCTGTCCCCCGAGGGAAAAGAAAAATATGCAGGACAGGGCTTGCAAAAGTGTGCGCATTGCTAAGAAATACATCATGCACCACTCTTGTTACTCTGCCTGTAGACGAGGCTCAGCCTTGCCCCATGCAGGCACGGGAATCCCGAGCATGAGGAGGACAGTGGTGACTAGAGCTGGTCCTTTTGTGTCCAAAGGTCACTTGGCTGTATTGCTGTTCTTAGAATTTGCTAAGTTTTTATTTTATTAGGAAAGTTTTAAATATTCAGAAAAGTAGAGGAAGCAATATAATGAGCGCCCACGTAGCCTTATCTAGATTTAATCATTGTTAACATTCATCTTGGTGAGTGTTCCTGGCAGAGATGTAGGAATGGAATGTAGGAAAGACAGGCTGTAAGGAAATGAGGATGGACTGAGGCTTAGTGGTACTGACTGGGAGAGCTGAGAGCTTTAACTACTCAGAGTTCAGAAACGCCTCGCTTTTGCAAGAATGCAAGACCCAATCAGATGTAGGTGGTTCCCTTTTGGATAGGACCCCAAAGAAGAGGTTTTAGTGCAGGATGATTTGTTATAGATGATAACATTAGTACCATTTCAACGAAAGTGGCATTATAAGCTGACACAGAAATTTCTCTTGTTGTGTTTTCAACTATTGTTATTTTTAAGGTTTTAATTTTTTTGCAGAGAGAATGTGCTCATGGATTGCTCGTGCCATTGAAAATTAAGAATGTCTAAAGAGACTTTCAGTGTGGAAATGTCTCTGTCATAAAAAAATTCAGGAAATGAAACTGGTGGATCTGTGAGAAGCCCAGTAAAATCACGGCAGTAAAAAGAAATGTTGATCACGAAAAATGAAAGGTTTGAGGAGCAGAAACACTCTGATTCAAAGAAAGTATATGCCAATTATAAAAGGCTCTTTTCTGTTGAAGCATTTAAAAGGCTAAGACATATTGCCCCATTTCTCGACATCAGCTATTACTGCATGTAAATGCGAAGCCTTCTCCCCTGGAAAGGATGCCTTACAATGTGAAAGCAACTAAACCCTGCTTTAAAATTCTATTATTCAGACCCTTCATTAATTTAAGCTGACATTCCTCCTCAATTGAGGCAAATCATCAAAGCTTTATTGTATTGAGAACCTTGAATTCAGCAACAAAGAGCATGGGGTTTGGAGGGAAATGGGGGGAGAGGGAGGGCTGAGCGCACTGAGGCCCAAAGAACTGGAGGGGAAGGAGGGGTAGAGGGCTAGAGTCTTGAGAGGCGAGGGGGAGAGAGGAGGAGTTAGAAGAACAGAGGTAAACTGTGGGGTGAGGACGGGGGGGGGGTGGTGGTAATTGGAAGGAGAGAGGGACTTAGCCCTTTGCTGTAAAGCTGTCCCTGGAACCTCTATTGTTAATCAGCATGGTAGAAAGCAAAACCAGCCCGCCACTTTGCCCTCACAGATATTTCTCCAGAGTCAGGATAAGGAGGGAGATAGGGGTAGGGGAAGAGAGAACATTCCCCTTTCTTCCCTCATTCAGGCGCCCCTTGAACCTCCTGCCTGTGGTTCCCTGCCCAAAAGCATCATGTCTGCAGGAAGCCGACAGGCCCCTGGAGCCTGGACCCCCAGCCCGGGTCACCAGCCACATCTGGCCCAGTCGCACCTCCACCCCAGGCTGCCAGCAGGCCCCTCTCTTCCTTTCTGGCGTGATTTACGGCAGGATGTATGATGTGGGATGTACTAGGTGGAACATGTTGGATGCATTGTTGAGGCATCAGGCAAGAAAGGATCTTTGAAATGTGAGGATGTCACCCATCGACTTTTATTAAGCATCTACAATTTATAACCAGAAGAAAGTAAGATTTGTAAGGTGAACTTCAAAGCCTAAGTAAGGGAAAAGTGAGTTTTTCGATGCGTAACTTAATTAAACAAAATACTAATTTCAAAAAGCAAGGTATAGTAGTCCCCCCTTATCCATGGTTATAGTTACCCACGGTCCGCCATGGCCCAAAAGTATTAAATGGAAAATTCCAGAAATAAACAATTTGTAAGTTTTAAATTGCATGCCATTCTGGGTAGCGTGATGAACTCTTGCACAGTCCCTCTACTTCCAGCCCCAGACTCGAATCCCCCCTTTGTCCAGCGTATCCATGCTGTGTATGCTACCTGCCCACTAGTCTCTTAGTAACTTTCTGGGTTATCAGATTGACTGTATCACCGTGCTTGTGTTCAAGGAGCCCTTATTTTACTTAATAATCGCCCCAAAGCGCAAGAGTAGTGATGCTGGCAGTTCGGATGTGCCAAAGAAAAGCTGTAAAGTGCTGTTTTCAAGCGAAAGGGTGAAAGTCCTCGACTTAATAAGGAGAGGAAAAAATATACTATATATAGGGTTCAGTACTATCCATGGTTTAGGTACTGAGGTCTTGAAACGTAGATGCTGCAGATTAGGGGGAATGACTGTAGTCCCAGAGGATCTTTTCTCTGCACCAAAAAAGTCCTGAAGGACACAAGAAACTCACATGGACACTGTGGAGCAGACAGCTCCTGGTACCCAACAACCTGCCAAGACCAATTCAGGGAGGCTGCAGGACTTGTTTCCAGATGGCCACCTTCCAGCCCTGTGACCTCCCCAAGTCACAAGTTTCCCAATGTGTAAAATGGGAATAGAAATAATATGTCCAGTCTTTACCCCAAGGGACCCAGGAGGGTGACCCGGTAGATGAATGGACGGTTTTCCAACCATCACTCACAGCCTGAACCTGGGCTACTGCATTGACCCATTCTCTAGTTTTAAGGCAAATCAGATCATGCTATTCCTCTGCTCAGAACTCTGAAGTGACTCCCTTTTCACTCAGACTGAAAGCAAAGTCCATCCCCTGTCCTTAAACCCTGCATGCCTAGCAGCCCCCGCTGCCCCATCTCATGACTCCCGCCTTGCTCACCTGCTGCAGTCACCCAGGTCCCATCCCTTTCCCCACCACCCCCGTCACCAGACACCCTCCCCCTCAGCACCTCTGCGCTTCTGAACCATTTGTTGGACTGCTTTTCCCCGAACAGTCCCATAACTGATGCCCATACCTCCTTCCCCAGATATTAGCCTGACCCCCTCACCACTACGTTTTTGCTAAAATGTCACCTTCTCCATGAGACCTACCCAGTTTAAAAAGCAGCCCGCTCTCCTTGCTCCCATCCTGCGCTACTTCTACTTTCCCTCAGCACTCATCACCGTGCAGCGTAATAAAGAACTCACTGTGTTTACCATTCGCTGTGTGGCTTCCCTGCTATGGTACAATCTTGAGCACAGGCGTCTTTGATTTCCCACTGATGTGCCCTAAGCACCTTGAACAGTGTCAGGCACACCAAGGACCCTTGATAAATAGCTTGGATCTTTTTCAGAGGTCTAGGATTTAAAACTGGTCAAAGAAGGGCTACTCCAATTGAAGGGAGCAAGAGCTCAAATTCTGCCCCCTATCCTTGCAGGCTCTCCCTGGAAGAACTCTTGCTCTGACCAGGAAGTTTGAGAACAGCTGGTGTTTTCCTTCTACGTAAAAGCAGTGTTGAAGATACAAAGTGCTGTGTAAGGGCAGGCCCAAAGGCCTGGCACAGTGGTTGGTACAAGCAGGTGCCTGGTTGGTAGAGCTTATAAAGAGGTTGAAGTAGGGTAGGGGGGACAAGGATCCCAGGACTGGATCTTTGCTGTCGTTCAGGTCTAAGCTTAACCCTGACCACTCAGCCAAGCCTTACCTGTCTATGCTTTCTTTGTTCCATACAGCGTAACTGTAATGCTTTTAGACTGGAGAATTGGAAGGATGTTCGCTGATAGTTACCATATGCTGGGCAGTGTCTGCACTCAGCTCAATACATAAGCGACCTCACGAAACTGTCATCCCTCCCACCACTGCCTCTGTGGTACCTCGTACCAGACCAGGCACATATAGGGGGCTCAATAAATACTTATTTCCCTACAACCCTCTGGGGAAGGTACTGTTAACTCCGTCTTACAAGTGAGGGACCGCTTGTAGCTTTAGGCAGCCTGCTTCATGTCATCCAATTAGTGAGCAGCAGAGCAAGGATTTCAGTTCTCCTCCAGCAAGCTCCAGTCACACTGCTTCTGAGACAGAACTGGGGTTAGACCATCCCTCCAGGCTCCCTCAGGCAGGCCTGTCTCCTGGCTGCCCCGGGAGGTGAGGGGAGAGGTCTTCTTTTCTCCTTAGCTTTCTCTTCTCCACCTGGGCTCACAATTCCCTTTGTACAGTGAGCTCACCTTGGGGGTCTCCTGCCATTTCTTGATTAATGGGTTTGCCTTTCTCACCCTCCCTGGCTGAGTAACCCCAGAGTTAGCAGTGGTTCGCGTGGAATCATAAGTCAGATTCTGAAAGACATTGCAAGTCTGTGCTCAAAATCTCCCTAGATTTCAAATTCTTCTTGAGTGTCGCTTGTTTGTGAGTAGAAGGATGGATTTCAAGTCTCTCCCTTTAAGAAAAAGCTGGATAGTATCTGCTGGATTCCTCCTGCCACCTCCGAAGACATCACCCTACTTAGTGCATTTCATGAAGCTAGAATTCCCCCCAAGGACCCCACACCCAGTTTCCACTCTGACCACTAAGGAAAAGCTCCAATCATGTCATCTCTTTACGTAAACAGAAATCATTTATACCTGGAGTGTTCGCTGCGTTCTCCATATACCCACTCTTTGCTGAGTTTTTCTTTCCCAACCATTGCTGACGTGTAGCATGCCAGCTATTAGTAAAAGGCTAGAGTAGTTCTTCATTTGTGTGGGACTGTCCTGTGTCCTGGAGGACATTTGTCCTTCCTGTCTCATCCACAAAATGCCAGGTGTATCCCCCAGTAACTGTAAGAACCAGATGTGCCTGCAGGCAATATTCCAAGTACTCCTAGTCGAAGGCACCAGTGATTGTATCTCTGAAAGATGGTGCACCAGAGGCAGATACCACTAGGTTCTGCCATTGATGAGGGAGTCTGTGTAACCCCAGGGGCACCTCCTCTCCCCGTGTAAGTTGCTTCCTACCCTTGGTCTT